CTTCTAGGTTGTAACAACCCTCCACCCCAGCTCCCCTCTCCCCTGCGCTTTTGGAGCTGGCAAGTTTCTGCCATGAGGGTCCACTCACAGGGCTCTCCAGGAACGCTGCTGGGGGCTTCTTGGAACTAGGATTTCACTACCTTGAGCCATGGACTGTGCTCATCTGCTCGTGATACAAGAAAATCAGCATCACTTTATTTGAAGCCAAATCCAGAATTAGATATTTTCAGCATTCGTCAGATTACAAGACTGGAGAGAATTAATGACTTCATACATCATAGGAGGGTACTTCAAAAAGTTCATGGAAAAATAAAATTAAAAGATAATAAAATCCTTCCATGAGCTTTTCAAAGTACCCTCATATAATTTGTTAATTAAGGTTTAATTTTTATTTGCAGTAAGGTCCAATTTGCAATACTATCAAACTTATATTTCTATTTTTTATTAATGTTGTTATTACTAATTATTATAACTACTAGTATTAACAACACGTAGGAAGGACAGGTGCTGGGTTGAGCACTTAACAGCAATGATTTTACCAAATCACTCTGACAATCCCATGAGGCAGATGTGGTTATTATCCCATTTCACAGATGAGTAAACTGAGGCTCTAGAGGGGCTAAGAAACTGCCAGGGTCACACAGTGAGGATGAGTGGGCTCCACACCCACGCTTCTGACCTCAGCTCTACTTTCCCAACTTGCTCTCCAACCCTCACTGAAGTTCCCCAAGACGGAGGCTGTCATTTCCTCTTGCACATAGTCATTTCTGAGAGGTCAGGCTGAGGCAGGGTGCCCATTCCAAGAACTTTAGGTTAGAACAGAAAATCAGGGCAGAGCTCAGGCATTTAAACTGGACAGAAAATCAGAGGTATAAAACAAAAAAGCAGTACTGTGAACCACTTTTATTATTTAGCAAAATATGATACATTGTTCCAAAAAATGAATACTGCTTTTTTGGGGGGAGGGGGGTGGCTGGCCAGTACGGAGACCTATCTGAACCCCTGATTTTGGTGTGAATACTTTTTTGATGATAAAAATAACATTTGCCAAGTGTTAGAAATGCAGATGATAATAGAAATAAAAGAAGTCAGGACAAATCATTCCCAATTACATAAATTCTTTGCTTATTTGGTTGGAGTGAGAGGACAATGTAAGCTGGTGGTTATATACTATCAAATAAAGCAGAAACTTAAAAACACTAACAGTTACTGTTAAACACTTGTGGATTTTTCTGCAGGAAAATAACCTGCCTTCTTTTGTAAATAAATGACAAGAAAAAATGAGAGAGGGTAACATTCCAGAATAAAAATAAGATTTAAGAGATATACCAAGGAAATGAGAAGCATAGACCCTACTTCGATTCTGATTCAAAACCCAACTGTTAAAAGACGTTTTTATGGACAATACGAGAAATTTGACCACAGATTATAGGCTGCATATTTGTTGATATAAAGGAATTATTGTGGGCCGACTCCATGGCTCACTCGGGAGAGTCCGGCGCTGGGAGCGCCGAGGCCGCGGGTTTGGATCCTATATAGGGATGGCCTGTGTGCTCACTGGCTGAGCGCGGTGTGGGCGACACCAAGCCAAGGGTTATCCCTTTGCCGGTCACAAAAAAAAAAAAAAGGAATTATTGCTATTTCATAGTGTGTTGATGGTATTGTCACTTCCCATGCTATACTTTATTTATCCATATGTCATCTCCTTTCATAACATTTCTCTCTTAATAACTGTTGCAGGGATTTGTACACTTGAAAGTTCCTCTGTAACTATTTGTCGAATGAAAGGACAAATAATATCTACCAACAAAGAATCCTCTGGAATGACAGGGAGGTTTTCCAGAAGTTAGGACTCATTACACATTGCTGAGGATGTCCAGGGCCCCTTTCACTTGGGCGTGTCATCCTTCTGTGTCTGGTGTGGCATGTGGCACCCTCGAAAATCACCCAAAGCGAGAATGAAACTGGTCTCATGGGAGCTCCACTGATCATTGGCCTCAGGCCTCACCCTTGCGAGGAGGGAAGGCTCTGCTCCACAAGCACACACAATGTTTGCCAGTTTTTACTTTCTCCTCTTTCTCACCTACCCCTACACCCAAACTACCGTTACCAAGAATCTGGGTAGTGGTGCTGCCCTACAGTAGATCTCCAGAACCGGTTCCTATTGCAATTGAAAGTTTGTACCCTGGATTAACATCTCTATATTCCCCCACCCTCCAGCCTCTGGCAAACCTCATCGTATTCTCTGTTTTCTATGAGTCCATCTTTTTTAGATTCCAAACTTAAGTGAGATCATATGGTATTTGTATTTCTGTGTCAGTCTTTAATCTATTTTGAGTTGATTTTTGTATAAGGTGTGAGATAGGGTCTGATTTTACTCTACTGCATGTAAACACCTAATTTTTCCAACACCATTTATTGGAGACTGTCCTTTCCCTATTGTCCTTTCACTTAGCACAATATCCTCCAGATTCTCTGGTAGGAAAGGGGAAGGGGGAGAGGGCTTAGGGAGAAATTGGTGAAGGGCTACAAAAAATGTTTACATTGTGTAATGATAAACAAACAAATGAACAAATAAATACAGTTCAATTTAAAAAAATCCCCCAGATTCATTTATGTTGTTGCAAATGGTAGGATTTCTTTTTTTATAGCTAAATAATACTCCATTGTGTATAGATACTACATTTCCTTCACCCATTTATCACCAACAGGCACTTTAGTTGTTTCCATAATCTTGCTGTTGTGAGTAGTGCTACAGTGAACATGGGAGTGCAAATACCTCTTTGAGATACTGATTTAATTTCCTTTGCATATACACCCAGAAGTGGGGTTGCTGGATCGTATGGTAGTTGTATTTTTAGTTTTTTGAGGACTCTTCATAGTGTTTCCGTAATGGCAGTACTAATTTACATTCTCACCAACAGTGTGCGAGCATTCTCTCTTCTGCACCTCCTTGCCAACAATCGTTACTTCTTGTCTTTTTTATAATTGCCATCCTCACAGGTGTGAGGTGACATCTCTGTGGTTTTGAGTTGCAGTTCTCTGATGATTAGTGATGTTGAGCTCCTTTTCATGTACTTGTTGGCCATTTGTATGTCTTCTTTGGAAAAATGTATATTCAGATTCTTGCCCATATTTTAATCCAGTTATTATTATTATTTTTGCTATTGACTTGTATGTGTTTCTTATAGTTTTTCAATATTACCTCTTATCAGTTGTATGGTTTGCAAATATCTTCTCCTGTTTCCTAGGTCATCTCTTCATTTTGAAGACTGCTTCCTTTGCTGAGCAGAAGATTTTTAGTTCAGTGTAGTCCAAACTGTTTATTTTTGCTTTTGTTCCTGGGCTTTTGGTGTCATATGTTTTCTTCTAGGATTTTATAGTTTCAGATCTTATATTTTAGTCTTTAATCTATTTTGAGTTGATTTTTGTATAAGGTGTGAGATAGGGTCTGATTTTATTCTACTGCATGTAAACACCTAATTTTCCCAACACCATTTATTGGAGACTGTCCTTTCCCTATTGTTTGTTCTTGGCACCTTTGTCAAAAATCAATTGACAATAAATGTGTGGATTTTTTTCTAGTCTCTTTATTCTGCTTCATTGGTGTATATGTCTGTTTTTATGCCAGTACCATACTGTTTTGATTACTATAACTTGCAGTGTATGTTGAAATTAGGGAATGTGATGCCTTCAGCTCTGTTCTTTCTCAAGATTGCTTTGGCTAATTGGGATCTTTTGAGGTACCATATGAATTTTAGGATTATTTTTTCTATTTCTGTGAAAAATGCCACTAGAATTTTGATAGGAATCACATGAAATCTGTAGATTGCTCTGAGTAGTATGGATGTTGTAACAATATTAATTTTTTAAATGCATGAACATGGGATATCTTTCCATTTATTTGTGTCTTCTTCAATTTCTTTCACCAATGTCTTATAATTCTCAGTGTACAGATCTTTCGCTTCCTTGGTTAAATTTATCCCTAAGTATTTTATTCTTTTTGGTGCTATTGCAAATAAAATGACTTTTTAAATTTATTTTTTGATAGTTTGTTTTTAGTGTATAGGAATACATATGATTTTTGTGTGTGTTGATTTTGTATACTGCAACTTTACTGATTTAGTTTCCTAGTTCTAAGGGTTTTAGTCTTTAGGGTTTTCTATATATAAGAGCATGTTGTCTGCAAACAGAGACAATTTCACTTTTTCCTTTCCAGTTTATTTGGATGTATTTTATTTGTTTAAATATTTTTCTTTTTCTTCCTGTTTTCCTTAATGTCATGATATAATTGGGGTACAATGAAGAACTTAAAGCTTGACCTCCAATTTGGGGAAAGCTGATTGTTGTTCTCCAATCTCCACTCATACAGTTGGAGTGGCCACGTGATTACTTTCTGGAGAGTAGAGTGCAAATGGAAGACACTTGGAATTCCTGCTGTGCCTTTAAATGGAAAGAGCCTGTTCATCCCTCCCCCAGCCTCCTGCCCTTCCCACTAGCTGCTCCAGTGCAGACATCGTGGCCCATGAGATGAGACTGAGGGTGAAAGAGGACCAGCTCAGACCCCAAATGATAGGGGAGCTGCCACGGCAGCCCTGGACCTCCTGTGCTGAGTCTTACCCTGAAGGACAGATGTGGAAACTTCCATCCCGTGGAAGCCTTGGTTACAGTAGTGTAGCCCATCTTCTTACTAGTTAGTACACTGTTGTTGAAGGGTCCTGAGCATTCCTAGCATAACTTTTTATGACCCAGATACCAAAAAGTAACAAAAACAAAATGAACTTGACTTTCCCTAAGTCATGTGGAGAAGTTAAACGTTGCTGCAGGTCAGAAGGCCTCCACTCAGCACATTCTCTTCTAGGTCAAGAATGTGGCAAAGTCAGGCCTGTCTCTTTCTAAACCAGACACAGCCATTGTTTTTCTCAGTGGCCAGCTTCCTGCTGTGAAGCGAACACAGTACAGGACAAGCTTTTGATTCCGTGCTAAGGGGAAGGACTTACCCCGCACAGAACAACTTCTGGAACTGTTGGTGAATGCTGTTCCAGCAGCACCAAACACAGCTTTTCTTTCCTAAGGAGAAATAGAGTTGAAGTGCAAAGATCCCTGAGAGAGACAGCACAAAGGTTTGAGTCACACATGCATGCAGGTAAAGCGATTGACATCAGATTGTCAATCAGATTAGGATAAGCCTCCTTGGGGAGCTGCTCCTTTTTTTTTTTTTTTGCAGCCTGTATGGGGATCAGAACCCTTGACCTTGGTGTTGTAGCACCGCGTTTCAATCAAGTGAGCCAACCAGCCAGACATTTCCATTCTATTAACTGCTGGGCATGAGAAGCCCCAATACATAGCACCCCTTCTCCCATCTAAGGTCTGTCCTGTGAGTCAAAATAGTCATCAAAGTGGACAAAATATAAGATTTACAATGAATAAAGCTGATTCTTAAAAGTGTGGATTATATATGTAGACAAGAACTCATTCTATACTGATTCCCAGGATTTGGCCGCCTTGGCTGGACAAAGCAGCGCATGTTCCCTGCGGACGGCTGCCCACAGGGACAGCTCCTGCGTCTGCCTGTGCTCTTGGCCGGCCCACAGTTCATGGGGGTCAGCAGCACCTTGATAGCCCCATTGGGAGGCATCACAGCTGAATGCCTTCAACAAGACACCTCCCTGTACAAGCTTTCCCTGGCACCCAGAGGGCAGACTTCCAGCAAGTCCTGCCAGTGCTTGCCAGGGCAATGTCTCTGCTGGGCACTGGCCACTCTCTCCCCGCCAAGGTCTGGACCTCAGCCCTGGGGGCAGGCCTTTCCTTGGGGGCTCCCTATTATCTGCCCTTGCAACTCTTGGATTCCATACATACATGACTGTAAATCCTATTTCCAATCTTCAGTATGTGGAAATGAAGTCCTTTCTGTATTTAGTGTGTGTAAAAAGAAACGCTGAGATAGCACTTCACACCCGCTGGAATGGCACAATCAGAAAGATAAAAAGTGGAGGCAGGATGTGGAGAAATTTGGACCCTCATACCTTGCTGGTGGGAATGTAAAATGGTGCAACCACTTTGCAAAACAGTCTGGCAGTTCCTCAAAGAGCAAAACATGGAGTTACCACATTGCCCAGCAATCCACTCCTAGGCATATACCCAAGAGAAATGAAAACGTATGTCCATACAAAAACTGGTCTATGAAGTTTACAGCAGCACTATTCATAATAGCCAGAAGGTGGAAACAATCCAAATGCTCACCAACTTATGGATAAACAAAATGTGGTCTATCCAAGAAATGGAATATTACTCAGTCATAAAGAGGAACAAAGTACCGATACATGCTGCAACACGGGTGAACAACGAAAACATTGTCCTAAGTGAGAGAAGTCAGACACAAAGGCCATGTATCGTATGATTCCGTGCACATGAAAGTCTGGCACAGGCAAGTCCAGAGGTAGGAAGTAGACTAGTGGTTGTTCAGGCCTGAGCAGGATAGTGCGGTTGCCAGGGGCAGGTGATAGCCAACGGGCACAGGGTTTCTTTTTGGGGTGATGAAAATGTTCTAAAACAGATTATGGTGATGGTTGCACAACTCTGTGAATACACAAGCACAAGCTATTGAATGGTACACATCACGTGGGTGGATTGTATGCACACGAATCACATCTCAATAAAGCTGCCAAAAAATAAAATACACCAGGGGAAACAAAAACAAGAAACACTGAGAATGCAGCAGAGAAGGCAAGAGGCCAAGGGCACCCAAGCAACAGTTGGGGCTCGGGCGATAGAGGGGAGGGCTCGGGTCTCACAGCTGCCACCTGAGCCACCACCACACCTCCTCTGCACACCCCCCCCACCCCCTGTCCACAATACAGGGATAATTTTTTTACTGGGATGAGGTGAAACATCAGGCAAAGAGTTTCAAAGCCTTTTGTAATATGAGTTATATGAATATTAACAAATGATTTGATATGGATTGAATAGTGTCCCCCAAGTTCTATGTATTAGAAGCTTGAACCCCACTGTAACTGATGAGGGTGGGAAATCCTATTATGGTAATTGGCAGGTGGGGCTGTGAAGAGGTGATTAGATTCTTAGCACCATGCCTTAATGAATGGATTAATAATGGTGATCAAGGGAGTAGCTCTGAGGGCTTTAAAAGGAGCCAACTGAGAAGGTTAGTCTCTCTCTCTGCTCCGCCATTTTCTGCCATGCATTGCTGTTAAGCCACCACCAAGAAGACCCTCACCAGATGTGCTCCCTGGACTTTGGACTCCCCAGACTCTGGAACTGTAAGGAGTAAATTCCATTTTCTTACAAACCTCCCAGTTCTAGGTATTTTGTTATAAGCAACAGAAACGGACCAATACATAATTCAAGTGCAAATCCTCTGGAAGAACTTTAACTCTCCTAAAGGGGACTGTCAATCATTTTTCAAAGGGAAATCATACATAGACGTTGGCAGCTCCATACGTGGGTGATATGACAGCAAGTCTCCTCCTCACTGCCAGGCAGCAGGCACTTGCATTCTCATGCTTTCCCATTTTAATACAACTTCTTGCAACTGTTTGGCTAGTAGATAGCACGAACATATGTGTACGGTTGCATTTCTGGAAATATTCAAATAATTCACTTGTAAATCTCCAGACCACCCTTGGATTCATGAAAAGTTCTGAGTAAAAATATTTTCACAATATAATGTTTAAAGGGCCAAGTGACTGCAGTTTTTAATTTCTCTGAATGAAAATTAGAAGTGGCACTTAGAGAAGCCCTTTTCTGTCACGACGCTAGGCTCAGAGAAGTCAGTGATGGCTCAGGTTCATGGAAGCAGCAGGTTGTCAAACCCATTAAGTCCAGGATTTTACAAAATGCCACTTCCACTATTTGTTGGTGTCTGCTTTTTACATCAAAACTAGCTAGCAGCACATCCACTTGGCTTCTAACACAAGGCAGTCTGGAGATCAGTGTGTCAACGTCCATCCCACCCAGTCGTGATTTACTCCACAGCAGGCCAGGCTTGGGCCAGGCACTGGGAGGACAGAGCTGAGCACACAGGCTCTTGTGTTCCTGGTACCAACACCTCCAGAGACAGAACCAGTAGCACATGTTTATACATATATGAGATGGGACTTATGAGGGGAACTGTCTCTTTTGATCATGAAGGCTGAGGAGTCCTGTGACAGTCTGTCTGCAAATCAGATGCTGGTAGTGTGGTTCAGTCCAAGTCTGAAGCCTCAGAATCAGGGAAGCCCAAAGTCCGAGAGCTGTGGGTGCTGCTGCTGTCACCGGTGTCACTGGTATAAGTCCTGGAACCCAAAGGCTGAAGAGTCTCAAGTTCTGATGTCCATGAACAGGACAGCAGAGTGTATCCCAGCTCCAGTGGAAACAGGGACATTCGCCTTTTCCTCTGTTTTTGTTCTCTCCAGGTCTCCAGAGGATTAGATGGTACCCACCCATATTGAGAGTGTATTTCTCCCACCTAGTTCACTCAGGGTCCCTGGCCAATCTTCTGGAAACACCCTCATAGACACATCCAAAAATAATGCTTTACCAGGTTTGTAGGTATTCCTTAATCTATCTGATCAAATGACACCTAGAATCAACCATCACAAGTCCATCACTGGTCAACTTGGCGTCCACACTCATCTCTGTAAACCATACTGTATTAGTTCATTTTGGGTTGCTGTAACAGAATACCTGAGACTGGGTAATTTATAAAGAAAAACAAAATTTATTGCTTACAGTTTCTGAGGCTGGGAGGTCCAAAGTCCATCTGGTGGTGGCATCAGCGACCCAGGGGTCTCACACTGCAAGATGGTGGAAACAGAGAGAGGAGAGAGAGAAAGACACTTTCCTCTTCTTTTACAGCCCTCAGAACCATGCCCCTGACCACCATTTTTAATCCATTCTCTACTGCACAGTCCTATAATCCAATCACCTCTTCAAGGTTCCACCTTTCAGTTACCATAATAGGATTTCCCACCCTCTTAACAGTCACAGTGGGGCTAAGTTTCTAACACATAAAACTTGGGGACACAGTGCAAGCTTCAGGGATTTTAAGGGGGGACATAATTCAATCCACTACACATAATTAATCTCCAGATGTCACGATAACATAGTAGTTCTGCCTAACATGATGCAACTATCCTGGGTACAACCTACAGCAGAAAGAGCTTTTGTCCCTTTCCCAGAAGAGGAAGTGAAGCCCTTAGGCACTGTTTACTCTTATCCTGATATCCCATGACTGAAATACAAATACTATCATGTAAAGTTAACGTTTAAATACTGATACAAAGTCACTAAGTCTCATGTTACATGATAAAGAGGAACAAAAACAAAACTGCTGAGTTTGCAGAAGACAAAGGTCAACAACCACACTGGCCCAGCAGCCACTCACCCTTCTGAGGACACTGCTCTGATCCCCTCTGGGAGACCACTACCCGCAGCACCTCCAGACTCAGTTTCATGGGAGCCCCATCTGGCCTGAGCCACACCAGGTGCTGCATGCCCTGGCATGGGGACTGCTCACAAGGGTTCATGACCAAGCAGAGCCCATGAGACACATGCCGCTACTGTTGGGGTTTCTTGGGGACACCTGCAGTTCTTTTTGCAGCATTAGAGGCTAAATAAATGCATTTTTCACTTTCATGATGGAGCAACTGGTCCAGATAATACGAGTGCCAGGTCCAGCTGTGCCTGAAGCCAGACACCCTTATCTTCCTTTCCTGTTTTTACTTTGAAATGGTACTAGATTTGCAGAAAGTAGGAAAAGCAGTAGTCCCCATACACACTTCCCCCAGCCAACATCTCACATAACCAAAGGGCAACGATCGAAACTAAGGAATTATCATCAGTATGATACCAGCTACAGATTTTATTCAGATCTCCTCCATTTTTGGTTTGTCTGATGTTTTTCATGACAGGCATGAGGTTGCCAGACCAGACATGGGGGAGGGTGGTGCGTCGGGGGTACATGATACCAATGCGTCATTGTCTCCAAGGTTCACTGTGATCACCTGGTAAGGTGGTGTCCGCCAGCTCTCTGCACTGTAAAGTCGCTGTTTTCCCCTTGTGGGTTAATATCTTAGGGGACATACTTTCACACTATGCAAACATCCTGTTTCTTAAACTTTTGCTTGCCCATTTCAGCGTATACCAGGGACGTTGCCTGCAGCAACTGTGGCGTTCCGATGGTGGTTTGGTTTCCCGTGTCCGTCCACACAGATCAGCAGGTATTCTCCATGGGCCAGCACTGCCCCTTCTCACCCACTTGTTCCATTGCTTACTGATACTGGTGCAGACACACTGTATTAGTCTGTTTTGTGTTGCTATAACAGAAATACCTGAGACTGGGTAATTTATAAAAGAAAGAGGTTTATTTGGCTTACGATTCTGGGACAGCTGCATCTGGCACTGGCCTTAGACTGTTTCTACTTATGGCGGAAAGTAGCAGGCAGCCAGGGGTACAAGCAGATCATATGGCAAGAGGAAGCAAGAGAGAGAGAGGAGGTGCCAGGGTCTTTTAAACAACCAGCTCTCACGGGAACTAATAGAGCAAGAACTCACTCACTAACCCTCCTCCCCTAGAGAGAGAATTAATCCATTCATGAGGGATCCGCCCCCATGACTCAAACAGCTTCCAACCCTGTCAAATTAGGGATCAGATTTCCACATGAGTTCTGGGGTGACAACACATCCAAACTCCATCACTCATGGATAGTTTTGTGGGTCTTAATCTAACACCATTTTCTTGCTCAAATTGCTCCACTTTGGTCTCTCTAAGCTCTCTCAGGCTGGCTCCTGATAGCACCTCCTGACCTCCTGCCACGAGGTGCCCCATCCCTGGGGTCAACCCCTTCTCCAAGGGGCCCTGGCTCCTTTCATCAGAGTTTACTCTGGCCTTTCCTATCAGCGGGGTCAACTGATTCTTTATCTTGTTAAACCATCTTGATTTTTGGTGGCTTGGCAGTAGGAGTGGGGACAAGCACACTGCTCTGCACACCCGGATAGTGATGAGCATCACCACCACTCACGTGGACTGGGGGGAGGAATGTCTGCCTGCAAAGACCCAAGTCTTGTTTCCTAAGTACTGACACCACCTTGCCATGCACTAGCATGATTGACCAGACGCCACTCACCAAGCACAGGGTGCGTGTGCTCCACGAGAAAGTCAGACGGCAGCAATTCTTTTAGAGGCTTCATTTTTACTGTTTATTTAGCAACACAGACTGAGACAAAATAATCTTCCCAGTTAGGTTAGGTTTTGGGGATTATAATAAAGATGGAAAACACCAGTGGTTAAGGTCTTGAGAAAAGGACAGCAAGGGTTGAGGGAGGCTCACTTTTCTCATTCCCTTTCTAAATGCTCCAGGGGTGCATCACCTGAGCCGGGGCAGATGGCAGCAGGGCAGTCAGCCCTGCTCACCGCAGTTTGAGGATGAAGGGCTTGCTGCAGGAGGGCCGGTGCTTGCGGACCCTGGCTATTTCCTGGAGCTTAAGTTATACCGACCACCTTGGAGAACCCACCCAGGGGACTCAGCTGTCATTCAGGATCACTGATAAGCCCCAGGACTACATGTTCCTAATTGCCTGGTGCAGGTAACTCCATCCACGAGACCGCTGGACACACTCGCATCTGTTCTTGGAAGGATGTGTGTAACCTGACAGAGGAGAGGGGGGAGGGGAGCATCTGCTTTCCTGAGTGAGTCGGAAGAGCAAGGACAGAGTGGGGCTCCTTCTGGCCAGACGTGGCAGTCCACGGAAAACTGAGCCCCTCAGTTCTTCAGCTGAGACACCTCGTACAGGTAGGCAGCCAGCATCTTGGTTCCCTCTATGTAGTTATGCCTAATGGAGAAGAAAAGACAACTGGTGTTACGCAGCGTCAGGTGTAGGGTCACATGCTGTGTTCTTTCTGGGGAGCGCCCCCCCCAATCCTGGCTGGTTCTCAAGAGCAGGTTCAATCTGGCTGCCCACCCCAGGGACCAAAGGGGAATGTGAGGGGCCTCACCTACTGCCCCGACAGCAAATGTCCTACCTTGATCTTGGGCCTCCATCTTGTACCCTTGTCACCAGGTCTGTCCCCCCAGCTCTCTCCTCCATGCAGGGTCTCAGCCTCTGTCTTAGGCCCTGGCTGGTCAACCCCAGTAATCCCCAGATGGGTCCTCCTTGGCAATTCCAGGGGCCAGATTCTTCTCTCTGAACTGTCTGTGGGTCCCCTGCCTGCCTGAGTTCCTCCTTTTGCTGCTAACTCAGAGAAAGTCGAGGCTACCTTTCACCCTTGTTAGTTAAAAGAGTCCCCATTGTGTCTGCCTAGGTCAGGAATATATACAAGTAGCATAAGCAGTGAGCAAGGACAGTCATTTTTCAAAAAGGGAAAGTAGAGAGGGTTTTATGAGCAGTAGATAAAGCACAGAGAAAAACACAGAGCGCGGTGTTATTGTTACAAACTGTCCCCTGCCCAAGGCGTTTACTATTACAAACTGTCCCCTGCCCAAAGCCTTGTCCCTGCCTCCATCAGAGGCCTCTCTTGGCAGCGGCGCACAAGGGGGAAGAGGTGGCGGGGAGGGGAGAGAAAGCCACTGCAGGAGCTGCCACCGCGAGGAGCCACCACCCTGGCTGTAGCATCTCACCTGTTGAGCTTCTCATTCTGGGAGTGAGCACCGTCGTCCGCTGACCCCACGGGCAACAGCATGACGTTCTTACCCGTGGCCTCCTGAAAGGTCAAGGTCACAGGGATACTGCCACCCTCCCTGGTCAAGTCTGGTTCAACACCAAAAACTGCAGGAAGTGACATAAAAGAAATAGTGAGTGTGGGGCACAAGGCTGGGGAACCACCATGCAGCCACTGCTCAATGACACTCTTGAGCCCTGACTCTGTGCAAGGCCCTGGCTCTCCAGGCTGGCCGGTCCTCCCATTCCCCATTGGCTCTCTTCAGAGTGCCACTGATGTGGCCACAAGCCCACACGACATAGCAGGGCCTCGCCAATGCGGCCATGTGCCCGTACGACACAGCAGAGCCTCGCTGATACAGCCGTGCACCCGCACGATACAACCGAGTCCTTCTACATGTACTAAGGGTCTGGGCATGTGTCCCCACAGAGTGCCTAACCTGTTTTCAGGGCTCTTCTCCCAGCCACATAATGAGGGTGGTTGAAGTCGGATACCCAGGGCTTCCCACCATGGCCCATGTACACCTTAAACTTGTTGGGGCTGTGTAGATCAGCAAACTTGTTAGTCAAGTAGCTCGTAACCTAAACCACAAACAGAGGAAACACAGAGTGTTGTATTAGCTCGGCATTCGCTCCAACACCTGTGACCTACGAGGGGGTCTACAACAGGTCTACAATAAGTCTATAACGGGTCTCACTTTCTGCTGCTGAATATTGATCTGATCTGCACAACTAGGAAAACAGAAAAGGGAGCTTTATCAAGAAACAAAATATAGTTACTTGAAAGTAGAAGGCAATGTTTTAATTTCAAGCAATTTGCCCTTTACATAGATGTTCCAAATGGTGGTAATATTTAAATTAAGTTTAAAAACAATGTTCCCTGACTCGCTTTATGTTATGGACAGAATGTGTGTCCCCCCCCAAAATTCATGTGTTGAAGCCCTAAACTCCAGTACGACTGTATCTGGGGACAGGGCCTTTAGGGAAGTCAGTCAGGTTAAATGAGGTCAAGAGGGGTGGGGCTGACTGGAGAGGATTCGTGTCCTTATAAGAAGGAATGCCAGAGAGATCACATGCTCTCTCTGCCACGTGAAGACACAGTGAGAAGGCAGACGTCTGCAGGCCGGGAAGAGCCCTCAACAGATGTCACATTTGCTGGCACCTTATCTTGAACTTTTCCAAAAAACTTCTCAGCCTCCAAAACTAAGAAATAAATTTCTATCATGGTAAGTCACTCAGTCTGTACTATTTTGTTATGGTGGCCCGAGCAGACTAAGACAGTTATAAAAACGATCACAGCTCAAATTCCTCTAGACCCAAGATGGGGCTGAGGAAATCCCCTCATGACAGCATCTCAGTTCTCAGCATGGAGAGCGACCTTGGTCCCCATTCCCAACAGGCAGGACTCTGATTCCATCCCTTCATGGGGACAAGCAGTGGCTGCTGGCCGGGCTGACCTGTGGCACCAGGATCCTCCCCTCCGTGTGTCACCACGGTGAGAGACGGTCCCCTGGACTCTCAGTAGAACATATTTGACCCCAAATCAGCATCTGACCTGAAGCCTTGGGGTGAGGTCAGAGGTCAGCTTTTGGCACAGCTGGGCAGGAACAAAGGTCACTCACACATCGTGCTGTTCACATGGCCTTCATCTGGTAAGTTTCTAAACTGCTCATCATAGCAGTTAGGGAGTTAGAAAGTGCAAAGGAGTGGGGATGTGCAGGGTCTAGGGGCTGCCCTAGAGAAAGCCTTCTGCCATTCTCATCCCACCGCACCCGGTGCCCCACATGCCTGCTCGCTGACCACTTCCGGAGTCATGTCCGGCACGAGCCTGATGGAGAACTTGCCCACCACTTTCCTAGGAATCACGGTCTTGGCCCCTGACCCAGAGAAGGCGCCTTCAATGCCATGGAGGGAGAGGGACGGGTACCGCCATCGGTGCATCAGGATGTCTTTCTGTGGGAAAATGACAGAGGGGTTTGGGGACACATCAGGCTTCCAGTGCCAGCCCTGCCTGCTTGCTGAGAAGACGCTAACACTGTCTGGGAAAGCAGCTGTCCAGAGACGTGCCTGGCCGGGTCCTGACGACTGCAGGAAGGAGGTGCAGACACAGGGGATCCCTGCCCAGGCAGCACTGGTTAGAGCCCATCCCAGATGCGGTCTGGAGCTGCTGCAACACCCCACAAAGGAGACCCCTGTGCAGGTCCCAGGAGCCTCAAGTGTGGCGCCTCCCATGACAGCCTAGACAGCTCAAAGTCACCAACAAAATGAAGATAGCCGTGGGGCTGATCACCAAGGGCCCAGGGAACACAGGGGAGGTTGTGGTCCCACAGACATCAGAGTTTCCAAAGGGCCAGAGACAACAGGAGAAAGAAAGGACGCAACACAGGCCATCTGAGGACGCCTCCCTAGGCCCATGAGCACAGAATGTGGGGCTCATTTCTATCGGAACAGGAAAGCCAGGCTGAGCCCTGCACCACAGTTGTGGCACAGTGGCCATGGACAGACACCATCCTCAGTTGAGGGGATGGCAGGAAGCAGCCTGTTTCCCAGGCATAAAATCTATACTATGGCCTTTCTACATGCCCCACTGTGTCCCAGCAGTGGCAGAAGACTAGACAGGAGGATCTACGCAGCCATGATGGGGGCTTCTGGAAGATTCCTCAGTGACTTAGCCACTGAACCATGTGGACTTCTCCTTGTGAACCAAGTAGCTCAGCGATGGCTGGGAGGAATATACGAGGCCCTAAGACAACTTACAGAGTGAGGTGCCCGAAACAGCAGGAGGAAATGGAAGCTTGTTCAGAACCCAGCTCTCCCAGGCTTGTGCCTCCCGTAACTGCTGGTGGGGACCTTCTCTTCTGACTCCAGAAGATCCCACCACCTGGTACCATAGATCCTCCGATATGTCGTGAGGCTTAGGCATCCCCCAACAACTCCTCTGTCCCCAGGACACTGTCAAGGCTCTGGCACCTGCAACAGTCTAACTGGTCTCCCCACGTGCACTGCCTCAGCTCCAACGCCACCCACGCCATAGTCATCCCCACAGCGACAGGTGATCGGCTCAAAACCTGCCACAGTTTGCCATCTGCTAGGATGACATTTGAGCTCCTGGCAAGTCACAGGCCTTCGTGTCGGGCACCTCAATCTTGGTCCCAGGGCTGCCCAGCGTCCCCCTTAGCCCTTGCCTTCTGTCCTGAAACAGCTGGACGCGTCTGTGCTCCTGCCAATTGCTTCCGCCAGCCTTATCCCTGCTGGCTGACACTCGGCTCCTGCAGGACAGCCTGGTGGGGCTGCCTTCTCGCAGTCCTGACAACCGTGCCCTCATATGCGACCACAGTGCTGTGTGCCCGCAGCATGGCCTGACATGTCTTTCCCTAGTTCTCTGCGTGCTTGTCTCTGGGAAGGAGGAAACTCAAGAGCCAAGGCCAGCCTTATTTCTCTTCTATCCCTGGGCTGAGACAGTGCAGGGCCTGCTGCTGGATTCAATTAATGTAGGCTGAACAGAAAGTGCTGAACTTACATCATACCTGATAATCCAAGAACTAACCTAATTAAGAGAAATGTCACGACACAACTGTCACCTAACAGTTAAGCAAACATCCTGTGCAAATGGTTTCCACCTTAGCACTTGGCTGTTAGGTCCAGCTTAACGTGACTTGGGCCCTGTGGTGAAGAGATGACCTTACAGTTGTAGGTAGGGCAAAAGCCACCCACCACAGAAGATGGCTGTGTTTCCTCTCCACATTTCCTCCAGTTCTCACGAAGTCAAAAGTGGACTTTGACATTTCAGAAAACCTAACAACTTCCAACCTGGTGTGTGCTGCTTTCTAAATGTCTGCAACATCGGATGACCTCTGTGCATGCGACAGTCCAGCTTCCTCCCGTGAGGGGCCCCCTGAGCCAGCACCTTGCAGCTGTGCAGGAGGGTCTTTGCCCCCACGTCCTTGGCAAACTCCTCCAGGTCAAAGTCGATGCAGTCATAGAGCTGGTGCTCCTCATCGGTGAGGGGGGCCACGGCCTCGTTGATGCCGGGGATGAGGATTTTGCCCTTCTTGTCTACCAGGGAGCCTGAGGAAGCCGGCAGAAGATGAAAACGCTCAGCAGGGGCAGTGCAAAGGCAAGCAGGTCTCTCCTGCACTGACCCCAGGAAGCCAGGCACAGGAGATATGCACAGCCTGCCCCACCCAGCCATGGGACTGCAAGACGGGCCACATGGCAGGACTCTAGTAGGGCCACTCTCGGGCATGCATTCTCTCTCAGGTGCCCTCTACATGCCCTATGCTCAGCAAGTCATGTCACAACCACAGCAGCCCCAGGAGGAGAGAGGGACCACTGTTCCCATACTTGAGATGAAGAGATGGAGGAATAGGCAGAGCAATTAAGCTGTCCTCGGTCACAGACCAGGATGCAGCCATGCAGGCTGGCTCCAGGACCCACCACACCATCCAATGTTTCTTTTTAATGCACATCCCACCAGAAACAAGCGGCTCTCAAGCTGAGGAGGAAAACTGTGAGTGCGACAGACTAGCCAACCCCAGAAACTATGCAGACATCACACAAGACAGCGCCACCCATGAGGGGAGGAAAGCAGAGCGTAGTTGTGTGGGAGGAGGCACTGCATCCAGCCTCATGCCAGGAAAATGCCAGCAGCAGGAAGATGTGGTTCCTGCTCTCCAAGAGCTACCGGCGGGGGAGCTAGCTGTGGCCAATTGTGATGTCAAATAGACCAAAGCAAGTGCCCTCTGACAGACGTAAAATACGGCAGTGTCCAGGGGAAGGCGTGTTGCGTGACTATAGGGGACGAGTCGCACAGGACTTGGGGGTGTCCAAGTTGGGTGGTGGAGGCCGGCTAGGGTTTCAGCAGGTGGTGGGTGACAAGGCCCGGGAGGGTCCCAGGCAGAGCAGGAGGAGGGTGGGTCACAGTGAAGCTTGGGCCTTGGGCCTTCTACAGGAATGGCAGGTGGTTGGCAGAATGATTAGAAACAGATGCAGGCTGGTTCCTGAAGAACGCCGAAACGTGCCCAATGCTGACAACAGGAGCCTGAAGGAATGCCCAGCTAGCTTTCCCCAATCACAAGGTCCTGAGCACGCGCCAGCACCTGCTTACCCATCAGCGCGATGAGGTCAGTCATAGCCTCGTGCACCGAGCCCCCGTACACCCCAGAATGCAGGTCTTTGTCACTGCACTCCACCTGGACAGACAGAAACAAGGGCCACTTTATCTGGCTGCTCGGTGGGAGCTTATTTCTATCATGTGACAGTAAACTGAACAAAGAACGTTTATAAGATCTGACAATTATCCAAATCTAAATTTCCGCCCTCAAGGAGCAAAGCAAGGTGTATTTCAAATTTAAAAACCTAGGCAGGAACAAAAAATACACTTGGATCTACTACAGGTATATTGGGAGTGCTAGCCACAGGTACTTGGATATGCTAGCCATAGGTACACAGGGAATAGCAGCCACAGGTACAGGGGGTATGCCAGCCACAGGTACACGGGGAATGCCAGCCACAGGTACACTGGGAATGCCAGCCACAGGTACAGGGGGTATGCCAGCCACAGGTACACTGGGCATACCAGCCACAGGTACACGGGGAATGCTAGCCACAGGTACACTGGGTGGGCTAGCATACCCAGGTATAGGGGACAGGACTTGGAGCCTGAGGATATGGGTTCAGATCCCACATACCACTGACTAGTGTAACCAGGGTGAGGCAGCTAACTGCTGTGTGCCTTGTCTCCTTATCTGTAAATGTCTCACTCACAGCACTGGGTCACCCTATTGTGTCACTTGGAATGTAGCACAGTGCCCTGCCCAGAGTGAGCACTCAGCAGCACAGCTGGGATGATTCTAGCACTGTTCGGGTTATAAAAGACTTCTACAAACTGGACCTAACTTAATCATCATGTCCCCCTGTGGGTCACCCTACAACTACTTATTTGGTATATAAGCAGCAGCCAGTGAGCGGCAGAGTCCGGCCTGGGCCCGGCCCTCCCTGCTCTGTCCTGCCCTGTCTTCTCTTTACTAGCCGAGTGTCTCAGCTCCTCAATATAACTGTCGTGGGATAAGGGCGCAGGTGCTCAAGTAAAAACAGCTTAACTTTGAAAAGGAAGTGTTTCTAAAATGCTCTATGTCTCTGGCTTCTTAAGTGGACTAGCACTGAGTCTCTACTCAATTGCTCCAAGGCAATGTTACAAATAATACTGCCCCAGCTAGACGTTTCCATGAAGCTGGCTTCTGACCACCAGAAGGACCACTGTCCGTGCCAGGGGTACGACAATGGGTTAAGGAACTGAGAACTGGGCACTGAGTACTTCTGTGCTCCTTCATGTGCAGCCACTTATTGGTACTTGCCTACCCTGGGGTAAGGAAGTACAAGGAGACTCAGGGGTCAGTGAAACATGAAGTGAAGCCCACAGAACTCAGCACTGTACCTCGATGAAAAAGTAGCAGATGCCCCTGAGACCGTACGTGATGCAAGGCTTCTTCTTGCCCAGCCAGTAGTTATCTGAGATGCACACGTAGTCCACATCTTTAAAGAACGTGTCTTTCTGGGCAAAAATCAGCTCGTCCAGGCCTTCGGAGCCAGACTCCTCCATGCCTTCCAGGCAGAACCGGACATTGACGGGAACCTCCTGTGGGAGGGATGCAGTGTGAGTAGGCATGTGGCTTTCCTTTCCTGTCCTAGAAAGAACAGACAGGAAGGAAGCCACCGTTGCTCTGAAATCACAGATCTGAAATACCAGCCCTCCAGACCAACCACTCGTGCCTCCTGTGGACACCCTGTCGTGACGCTGCTCCCCAGCACTGACTGTCGCCAGCCACAGCTCCAGGCCCAGGCCGCTCTGACTAATCCAGTTTTGAAAGGCAAGGCTCCTCGCCATAGTTATGCCCTAAGAGGTAATGTGTCTTCCCTGAAAAGCTCAATGGTAATTTTAATACATCACCAAGTATCTGGGTCTTGTAATGCAGTTTTCCAGGTGCTCTCCCAATGCTGTGGGGTGAGGCAAATGGCCCCCATGCACACATGAGAAAATGGGCTTGCACACAGAGCCAGGTGACTTGCTGATGACCACACAGGCTAAAGACCAGAAGGACTCACCCAAATGCGGACTCAAGTCTACTGAGTCCTGGTTCAAAACCGCCCCCAGACAGCACCGCTCTCCAACACGCCTCCTCCTCTGCCCTCCTCTTCTCATGCCCCTCCCGGGGAACCTCCATGCCACAGCAGGTGCGAGAAAGTGGGGCCGCTATAAGAGCCATGCCCTGTCTGCAGCCTCCCAGCCCAGAGGATGAGGGAGGGTGAGACCTCCCTGGAGGGGGCGAGGCGACACCAGTATGCAGGCCAGCTGCAGGATAGGCCAGGCGGTTCTGGGAGTCACTCTCCTCCTGTGTAAAATGACACCAGGACCAGGGGGCCTGAGACCCTTCTCAGATCTACACTCCATGCTTTGACAAAAATGCTTATCTTGTTCTTATTTTATCATGATCCAAGATGAAAGCAAGAGGCAAAAATGGTCTATATGGTGTGGTCACAATTAAGTTAGAAACAATTGAAAAGCCTGGTAAGTAATAAAATACTAACAGTCTTTGAGGGTTGGGACTCTAGGCAATTTTTCTCTCTCTCCTTTTCTGTATTTCACCAACTTGGAACAATAAGCAGATATTTCACAGTTAAGGAAATACATTTTAAAAAATAAAACTTAGGGGCCTGGCTGTGGCTCACTTGGGAGAGTGTCCTGCTGATAACACCAAGGCCACGGGTTCGGATTCCTATATAGGGATGGCCGGTTAGCTCACTTGGACAGCATGGTGCTGACAACACCAAGTCGGGGCTTGGGATCCCCTTATCGGTCATCTTTTAAAAAAATAATAATAATAAATAAATAAACCTTATTTTAGGAATAAGAGGAAGGGACTTGTCCAGCATCACAGGCCCAGGTCACACCCTGGCAAGTGGCTGCACTCGCAGGTTCAGTCCGTGATTGGACATTCACATCTCGTGTGTTGGCAATGTTGTGAACTTTGAGCCTCTGTAAAACAATTAAGCTGTAGTCTATCCTCTTAAGTCTGAGTCACCTGTGCTCATAAAGTTTGGGGGGAGTGTGCTTTCTGCTATCCAGTGACCTTCACAGGCTGCCATGTGAACAAAAAGCACATCTGGGCACCACTCGGGGTGAATCGGGCAGAGTGTGGCGTGGGGGCATACCTGATCTGTTTTCTGATAAGCTTCCAGGGCATTCATCCAGCCAGCCACCGGCCCCTTATCATCAGTGGAACCTCTCCCATACAGCTTGCCTGGAACAGCAATCAGCAGATCCATAAATTTTGATCACAGTGAGATAGAAAGCACAGACCTCAAGAGAGCATCTGCTAAAGGCTCAGCACAACAGTCCCAAGTGAGGCTTTCTCCTTGAATCAGAACCTTGTTTTCATTCTAGTGGGAACCCCGAGTCTCCATCCAACACTATTGCTAGAATTTACCAGAGAATTCAGCATAATCAAAGAGGCAAGTCATACAGGTGCATCTAAGTGACCCCTTCCCTTTCTCACAGTAGCCACAGTGGCCAGCCAGCCAGGGAAGGGACTTCCAGTTCAACTCCAGGAAACCACTCCTGGTTGCTTAGCTTATTAGAACCTGTTTACCATAAGCAGCTGGTAGCACAGGGGTGCGGAGCCTGGTCTTACTCAGGAACTGCAACCCACGCCTGCTTCTAGGATGAAAGCAGATGTCCAGGCCAGGAAGCTGACAATGGGAAGGATGACAGGGAAAACAACCCCTGCTCCCGGCTCTGACCTGTGACCTAGGGCTGGCCTCTGGGAAGTAGGGAAGGGAAGGAGCGACTTGGAACAGCCCAGGAGGAATGGAGCTCGCCAAGCCCAGGCTTGGCCACTCTAGCATCCAGCCTTGATTCTGCCACCCCTCATGCTTAAACGGTGTTAAAAGTCTGGCAGTTTCCATACAACCCACCCCAAAGTAGTACGAGGCTTAAAGCCACCGTAACCTTGGGAATTTCCTTGTATAAACTAAACTCAATTTTTCACAAAAGCTGAAGATCAAATATAAGCTCTTCTAAAAAAACCCCTTGTTCTGAGACAAGCACTGAATAACTATGGCGGCCAGCGCTGAGGTGGCCCAGAGGCATACAATAAGCACAGTGAACATGACGTGTTCCCTGCACCCCAGGCTCCCTGCCCAGGAGGTGGCGGCAGCATGTGCTTCATGTCTGCAGTAAGCCTGTCCATGGTACGAGGAGCTACTGCAGGTTCATTGACAGTAAGGAGTCTGCTGAGGGTGGGTGTCTGTCTGTCGAGGGAGATCAGGGAGGGGCTGAGAGGGTTCTCAGAGGGAGGCCTCACAAAGGACTAGGCGGTATCAGGTCCAGAGGTGGCACACTGAGGTCACTCAGGAGCAGTAGGAAGAGGAGTGGAGGAGCAGAGGCCTGGAGAGGGCAACGGGACCCAACACCTGTGTAGGAGATGGGGGCTTCAGCATGGGAAGAGCAGTGGCCCGAGAAGGGCCTGACAGGGACAGGGAGGCGAGGACAAGCTCCTGGTTTCTGGCGTAGTGGCGGTGAGGTGGTGCCACTTATTGAGATGGCGAGAGAGGGGATGAGGAGCAAGGACAAAGCATTCTCTTCCAGACAGATCAAGTTTAAGTGGCAAGGGAACAACCCAGTAGACACGGGGGCCTGCCACTCAGGAGCCCAGGTGCGCACGGAAGATCGATTCCACAGTAACTGTAGTTACACTGAGATGGTGATGATGATGCAGAACTAAATTTCATAGAAGATGCTGCTTTAAGCAACACCATTTTTCACTTTTGCATGGGGATGAGCACAATCGACACTGAGCCAGGGAGGTGTGAATGCAGACTCAGCAGACGGCATACGGAGCCTGGAACATAGGAGCCTTGGAAGGCAAGGGCCGGAGCAAATGAAGGGGCGTCTTTTTTTGGCCAAAGACTGTCATGTACAGAGAAGTGAAAATTCAGAAATGAAGCAGAAGACCTTTATGTCAAAAGAGGATGGGAAGGAAAGAGGCCAGCCTGCGGCAGGTCTGTCACAAAGTATCGACAGTGGCTCATTGGGCAGGCAGGTTGAGGAAAGACGCTGCCTTCCTAATATCCCAGAGCAAAGCTATCAATCAGAGTGAGGTGCTAGATCACAGGGTTTTGAGGACTACTCTGCCTCAATTCAGAACATGTACTCTAAGAAAAAGTGTCTAGCAGACCCCAGGCCACCAAGGACAAGAAGGCTTTCTCAAGTTTTTGTGTCGGAGGCACGTGAGAAACTTCCAAAACCCAATTTCTAGACGATGTTAAAAACCACCTGTATGGGAAAGAGAAAAACCGCGGCTGTGGGGATTTTGCAGGGCAGACTGCAGACGCGCTGGCCCGCGGTGGCGACCGTCCTCTCACCATCGCGCTCCACCAGCGTGAAGGGCTCACTGTCCCAGCCATCCTCCAGCGCCGCAGGCTGCACGTCCAGGTGCCCGTAGATGCACACCGTCTTCTTCTGCGGGTCCGAGCCCAGCTTGCCCAGCAAGATGGGAGGAAGCGGGATCTCCGAGCCGTCGGGGAGCTAGAAGAGAGAGGAAGTTGAGGAGGACAGCCTTTGCTCAAGAAACTCGGTATCTGTAGCAGATATTAAAATACTTTGAGCTTTCTTATCTGCTCTCATCAGTCAACCGCTACTGTAGAGTTTAATATCATTTTATTCAACGGAGTCATTAATTAATAAGAATTTACTTCCCTATAATCCAGAGCCTGAATTATGTTCAACTGTGGGTGGCTTAGTGAATTTTTAAAGGCTGATTTTTCTCTAACTTTTGTATAACAAAACATTATGCAGGCTGAGTTTGGAATGTAACTTAATTCATTATTTTCTGAAATGATGGTTAAAAACAATTACAATCTTAAATCATAAGTTATAGTTTTCAAATTCTGTATGTAGATGACAATTATGCACAGAAAGGGCCATAAACCGAGACATAAGGAAATATCATTCACAAGATGCCATACTAAATAAAGTAATGATTGCTCGTATTCCTTCTGAGCTTTGTCCCTAAGGCCTTATCAGTCTCACAATCCTATGGGAAGTGGGTGGCACATTTGTCATGTATTCTCTCTGAACCTGGAACAGAAATGGCAGCCGTAAGAAGGTGAAGCAGTCTCGGGTCTTTCCCAACTTTCATATCAGGTCAGTAGTCCTTGACTCTAAACCACTGCCTGCTCAGGCTGTGCAAAAGCCCTGCAACCCATGTGCCGCCTCCACCTGGTCCTACATGCTAACAGACCCACGACACCACAAGGTGTCACAGGGAATGGCAGGGAAGGGTGAAAGCACACGGACCTTTGTTCTAGCTACAGGACAAGGGACCGTACATACAGAGCACCACACACACGATTAGTCTAGTCACTAGACAACGTTGCTTATGAAAATATGTGTTAATAAACACAACACACAAACTAACGTAATAATGAAGCTCAACTAGCAGTTTACAATTAAGAGGTAAAACGAGCAGCAACTGAAAATGATAACAGATCAGGATCTGGTGATGGGATGAGAAAGTATCCCTGCCCCAAACTCAGGGCCCCTGAGCTCCGAGTGAGAAAGTGCATCAGGGAGCCTGGCAGGTGGCCCAAGTTCCTGCAGGACACAGGTCTGTTTTCTCAGTAAACTCTACTTATAAATACCCAACTTAAGTAACTCTTACAACCCGACAACTGCTAGTGTGCAGTGCGTGGACCCCACGTCCCTCGCCCGCCGAACCGCACTGTGTGTGGGCTGGGCTTGTGCATCGTTCTCATGAGGATGACCTGGGGCCCCCAGAGGCAAAGAGTCACTCCTGAGGCTCTCGGTCCTCGTCACACAGGACACACGGCCTCTGTGGTCACAGCCACCCTCAGCTGGCCTAGGCAGGAAAATGACTTTTAACGACAATAGATTTTCTCTAAATTTCTATGCAAAAGAGCTTCTCTGAAATACTTGAGCATTATCTAAGAAACTGTCCAGGCTAACAAGGAAATCTGTTCTGAATTCACTAGGACCAGAAACTCCCTCTTTCTTCCATGAGCCTAAAAATCCCGCAGCTTCTGTATTTACTGTGGTAACACCGGACTCCACCTCCACACCTGCCTCAAGCCCTCATTGCTTGCTGAAAAACGGAACGCTGTTGCCACATGAACGTACGTGAGAAGACAAAAGATCTCTGTAGAACTTTTCTACCAGTGAGAAAATCTTCTGATTCTTTGGTAAAAATAGATGCTATATAATTCAAAATAGTATAATAGCCATTTCAGTTTTTTATGGAAGGCCCTTTCTTAAGAACTGCACTGTAAGGTCAGTGATAATAGGAATAAATCTATTATAATAAAACAACTAGTAAAAATTATTTGCCCCACCTAGACTTTTTAATATGTTAGGAAAAAAGGGTGGGGGAGCAAGTCAAGTAGGCTCCTAAAAGAAAACAATATGAAGAAACTTGGTTTATTCTCCCAAGAGTAGGGGAAAGAAATTGGGAAGCCATATCTTAAGACTACTATTAAATTTTTTGTCATAAGAAAACCTGAAGCGAACGATACCGACTTGGGAGTCAGGAGGCCTGGATTTTAACCTTGGCTTTGTCATGAACCCACTATGGCCCCCCAGTGGACACATTGCCCACCTGTGCTTCCAGCTTCTTCCACGGGTGAAATGAATACCCTGAACTGAATGTCCTCACCCCAAATTCCAGCACTGTATTCAACTCGACAACTAAATCATCAGTCAAAGGAACTGAGATAAACCCAAATTTGTCACACTCTGCAATATAAAAGAATATTACAAACTTTGAAAATACACGGCATGAAGCATGCAACTTACATGGGGCTGAAATCATCTGAAACTAAAATAGTTTAATAATGTCCCATTAAGTGAGATTATTCACTTAAAGTAGGAAGAAAACAAACCATTCTCATCTGTCAGAATCCTGCATTAAAGTGTCACTGACCCCCAGCCCCCATGCAAAATATCTCTTATGAAAATGTGCCTGTTATTGCTATTTGTGGTTGAGCAAGAAAAACAGTGCCTTCCACTAGCTGTGACGCTGGCGACCTGGTGCTGTGCAGTGCAGGTGCCTTTGTTACTTTTAGGTCAGTGTGGATAAAGGGTAACTGCCTGGTCTGGAAGCTCACTAACTTCTGGGAGGTGAATCTCAGCTCTTCTCTAAGCATGACTGTTCCAGTAACTTGTTCTTGAGTAACCGTCAACAGTTCTCCTTTCGGGAGGAAAATATTGAGTATCACAAAACTTTTGCCCCAACCCAACTGGAGCAATCATACAGAACTTATAATCCAAATCAGATCTTTTTATGTTTGTTTAAAAAAAATATGAGCAGGATATTTGAAGCGAAGATCCCCTAAGTTCCTGGGGAGTCCTATCAGCCCCTCCACAGAGTTCTGCACCGCTGAGAATCCTGGACTCGCACCTTCTGTTTCCCGATGTCCACCAGTTCCACAGAGCCGCCCAGCTGCCTGATGTCTGCGGCGGCGACTTCCATCATCCTCTTGATTTCACCTCTCTTCTCCGGCCACGCAGACACGCTCTGGATGGCCACCCATTTTGCAAGCTTCTGTTTGTGAATGACAAGCAAAAGGGGATTCTGAAAAGGCTCTCCTTAAGGAAGGGTATTCACAACTAGGCCATGTTTCAGGTCCACAAAATTGACTTACTGCCTGTGACTGCTCATTTTGAACATGTTGACTAGATGTAGAATAGACCCGTCACACCTGCTCTCTGTTTAAGATTTAAGAAATCGTTTGTAGTGACCATGTACCAAGAACTAGAGCATAACAGAAAAATGCCAGAACGTGCATTTTTAACCCTTCAGGATGCAGTGACTACGAAATGTACAAAGTTCCATAAACAAATTTATATCCGAAAAGATACAGAAAATACCCAGTGTTGTTGCAGTACAAATTAGCTTACTTATTATGCAGACAATGGCCAAGTTTTCTAAAGTATAATTCTTAGAATCACAGTTCTAAAGATTTCATCTGAAATGTTTCTGCCAAGAATAAAGCATGGTTCTTTAAGTTAACATCAAGAGACAGATTAATAAATAACATTACTGAATCACTTAGAACATACTAAAGGCAAACCAGTTCTTTAATCTGTAACTATCACAAGAAATGGTAGGTTGAGATTAAGCAAAAATCTTGGATTAGCTTGATTATCCCTAAAAACACATATTGGCACGCTCTGTTAAAAGCCAGAAATGTAACTCACACTGTAAATGAGAAGGTTAGGAATGGATCTCTAGGCAACATTTTTAATACTTGATTTTGTTAGGGTGCAGAAATCTGTTCCCTAAAATATTGCACTTTGTCATGCTGAGCACTTTAAAAATAAAAAGACCTCAGAAATAAGCCTCAGCATCATGGTCCCTCTAACCAAGTCTTGTTTCCTTCACCCCAAGTGCAGGGAGAAACTTCCTCTGGAATTTCCTTATCTGACTAAGAAAGCTGTCCAAAAGAAATGCAGTTGTCTTAAGAGCCCCTGCTAGGAATCTCCTCAGATAACGAGGACAGAACAACCCCTGGATGGCCCCACACCTTGGACAGACCTCAACACTGTCCCTACACAGAAGTGTCTACTTCCCCCACCTTTCCTCTCTCCTATGAAAATTGGTACATAAACTTCTGTATTCCACTGGAAAACTGGGAAGTTATTCTCTTGTGATTCCCCTGTGCAATGCCCCTCCCCAGACCCTTAAAATAATAAAATTTATGCTTTTTCTTCATATTAATCTGTTCTTTTCAGTTGATTTTACAGAAAACCTTCAAGGGGTTGAAGTCTTCCCTTGGCCCTTACAATTTAAAAGGCATAATTCATATTAGCTTCTTGGAAGTTTCTGAGCCCCCTAGGATTAAACCAAATGTTAACGTTTATTGTAATGAAATATTCCCTTACCTTAATGTAGCGATCCTGATTTTCATCAATGTACTTAAACAGGGTAGTTAGGGTCGACATTTTCAAGCAGACTGCAGTCCTTGATGATTCCTGGAAGGAGGAGCAATGGGTCACTCCTGCCAGGGCCTGGAGGCGCCACTTCAGAACTGTGGGGCGCGGCTCCGTCCTCCCAGGCAGCACTGCAACACCCTGACACAGGACTGAACTCCCCAGGAAGTGACTGCGCTTCACAGACACAAGACTTGGGAACTAGTCAGAGCTTAGACTGATCTTCCCTTCTCTTCTCGGAAGGAAAATCTAGCACTGCAACACCCTGACACAGGACTGAACTCCCCAGGAAGTGACTGCGCTTCACAGACACAAGACTTGGGAACTAGTCAGAGCTTAGACTGATCTTCCCTTCTCTTCTCGGAAGGAAAATCTAGCACTGCAACACCCTGACACAGGACTGAACTCCCCAGGAAGTGACTGCGCTTCACAGACACAAGACTTGGGAACTAGTCAGAGCTTAGACTGATCTTCCCTTCTCTTCTCAGAAGGAAAATCTACACAAAATTGTGCATCAAATGGCAGGTACCTGAAGGAAGGGTCTGAGTTGCAGACAATCTGATGAAAACTAGAAGTAGGTACAGCCGGGCAACACTGATTTACGCGCACTTAAAGCACGAGGACAACTTCCCACTTTCTATTTACCATGAAAAAAGCGGTCACTTCAAGGATCCCAGCAAAAATGCCACACCCTGTCTTTACCACCACAAACCCACAACACAGTCAAAGGGTCCAAGGAAAGCTGGGTTAACTCCATTTAAGTTGATGACAGTCCAGAAACAGTCAAAGGACAGCACACTAAACCTTCACAAGAATTTAAGATGAAAAAACTTCCACTGACCACACAGCCTCCTGGGCACATTTTCTAACGTCCAGTTTCTCACGTGTGGGACCCAACAACTTCTGCTCCATCTTACAAACACAGGCACAAACAAATCATTTGACTGTTTTTAAAAATCGGAATGAATACACAATAAAAATGATTCTGGTATTGGGACTTTCAAAATTGGTTCTCTCCCCTTTTCTTCAACCCAAGATTCAGATTCCTTTGAGAGGCAAGACTCAAACTTCAGCAGCAGTGCAAAGGAGCGCAGTCGTACTGAGCAAATTCAGTACCGCTGCAACACCATACCAAGTGTTTCAGAACCACAGCTGTGGAGCGACAAGATCCTGCTACAGCTACATAGTTTCAAAGGGGATGTGGATAAACGCCTGAGCATCCACATACTTAAAGAGCATTTTTTTTCTTGGTATAGGATCCCAAAGCGATTTTTAAACAGAGGGGTGACTTTACCCACTGTGACGCAGAGCATGGCAGCTCTTTAGCAGACCAAGGAAGTGACGAAATCTCAGGCACTGCACATAGCTGGGTAGGAGTTCAGACCGCTTAGTTCCCAGTGCCGACCTCCTCCTAGTCAAACACCAGCAACAGAGTGTGAAATATTTCCACATGTCCTAGCCAACTCAGATGTATCAGCTGAGACACTCATCTGAGAGAACTTCGAGTAATAAGATAAAGTCCACAAATGCTGGAGACACATTTTATGAGTGTTAATTAATAAGTCAAATTTTCATCCATTTGTTACCAGAAATGTACACAGGGAAGGTACCTGTTTACATCAAAAGAAACCCTATTTAACAGGACAACATGCTTACACTGGGTGCTTTTCATTTGGTTCTTGGACATTAAATACCATAAATCCCAAGCTCACTGTGGCATATTCTCTTTAATATTATGTTCTTTGTAGCCAAATTAACCAATGGCCTAATAGCTAAAGTCACTCAGAGATATCATCATCTAAGGTGCACCTTTCATCAAAGGAGAGTAAACAGAGAGCAGATTATTCAGCTATCCATGCAAAGCCACCAGGCCTGGGCTAAAAAGCAACTCCTCCTATTAACTATTAATCCAGTCAAAGCAGGTTAGGCAGGCTTCCATTTTCTCCCTCCCACTCACAGTTCCGGATTATTCCAGTTTCACCTCTCCCAGTACCAAAGCCAAATGCAATCACTTTTATAAGCCCTGGTGGACCCCGTTTATTAGGGTAAAAGCAATATATTGGATTGAACAAAAGCAAATACGATCCTTTAAAATAAACGACAGCTTCACTCTCCTCTTGAAATCTAAAGTTTATGAGGAGTAACAATTTAAATAGTAAGACTAGCGAGAGGGTAAGGAGAAATTACACGTGCGCACCTGAATCAATGCAGCAGTACATATAGATGATTCTTTCAGTTCTGAATATTTCAATCCTTGTCCCTCCTTAGTTCAAGGTAAGTAAATAAACACCTGAATCATGGCTTCAAGTCTATGTAAAAACCACTGAAACAGGGGGAGGGATCTCCAATCCAGAACTTCATCCTACACAGATTATGAAATTATCTTTCACCACTCCTCCCTGCAAACATTAGGGATAACAAAGGTATCAGAGAGAAGGTCCCATTACAGGTTTTCTGCCTCATTACACTGAGTCTGCACTAGTAATCTGACCTTGGCAGTGAGGGGCGGACTGGCGCTGAGTCTCTAAGACATTATTAGTGCAGCGGACCAAGTGTCATCTCCATTTTACATATGAGGAAACCGAGGCTGATGGAATGGGTGGCCTGCCCAACGCCAGCCAGATGGCAGGGAACTGTCTCTCTCAGATGCTCCTTCCTTCCTACAGGCAACCTCCCAGCCTTTCATGCTGGTGGAGCTGGGGATGATACTGACCAGGGCCCTCTGAACCTAGGGTGTGTCTGTCTGTCCAGCAACCCCGACCCGCAGCCTCTGCGAGAGGGATCTGTTGCGGGCGGGCTGGATTCTCAGCAGGCCTCTCGGGGAGGGCACGCGGGCTGACCAGCAACCGGGGTCGCCACCCTCCAGATCCCACCAGAAGAGCCGCGCAGGCCTCAACTGCGAGCTTATGGTGACTGACAGGGACGCTCCGCTCGTCGCGCCACTGCCTCGGCCCAGCGCCAGGGCCCCCGGGGACTTCCCATCGGGGGCTTCCCATCAGGGCCTCCGACGCCGGCCGCGCTCGGGAACCGCCGGCCTCCATTGTTCCCGCCTGGCTGCGGCCGGGCGCCCGAGCTTCCACACGAACGAGGCGCGACCCGGGGCCCTCCCCGCCCGGCCCGCAACCCGGCTCGGGCCGCCCCTCCGGGAAAGGCAGGAACCACCCGGGAAGGCCCGGCCAGGACCGCTTACCCGCGGCGGCCTCTGCGCTGGTTCCGCCCCACCCG